AGCCAAAGTCCCCGCAGCGCATACACGAGACCGCGCTGAGAAGCGCACATGCCAGGTGACAGAGCACTGCGAGAACTTCCTTTAATTACTGCTCCTATTGCTGGCGCTATTAGTAATTAAAGCGTTCGTCTTAAAGCTACCTGTATTTCAAAACACACGCGGGGTGGTCAGATTAGCAAAGACTCTTGGGTTAGCTGGTATGGTATGGCATCCTGCCTGGAGCAAAGATAATCGAGTGCCTGGGCGATTGCTCAATCATGATGGATGGGTGGGGAATTTCTCCTGGACCCCAGCATTAACCTCTGGGGCCTGACAAGGCTTGTGCACTGCTCTTCCGGAGCCCGGCTTGCACAAGTACCAGTGCCACAACGTTGCAAAAAGCAGGTGTCCCAGACATTTGAGCCTTCAAAACCACACCTTGCGCGGGGGTGTGATCTGTCTCCGCTGTCTCTGCTGATGCTTTTTGGTTGCCTGGAGCCCCTGCCCTGCCTGGTGAAGAAACACAGATATTTACAGCTTTGCGGGAGTGAAGAGGAGCGGGTACATTGCCCCCAGTAGGCCACAGAGCAGGGGAATGCTTTCATTTAGCTGTGTAAAGCACTTCCAAGTTTAGTGTGTCTCCTGCTGCTGTTATTATTTCTTCCAGACCATGATTCACTCGGCAGCTTCCAAAGCAAGCAGAGGATGTGATTCCTGCCCCATGGAGCACTGGATAACAGGGATTATCCAACTGCGGGCTGTTAGCAAACTCCCAGGTCCTACACGTGTTTTTATACCTGCAAGCATGAAATTGCAGCCCTGGAGCTAAAGCCACGTACCGAAGTAGAGGAGCCAGCAGCAGGACAGAGCTGCTGCTGCTTCAGGGCCATTCCTGGACACAGGCAGGGAGATGGAGCAGGGTGCCGGGGAGCTGAAATGCTGGCTTCCCTTCCCAACTCGCCACTGCTTTGTTGTGAGAATCGGGCAAAGTCGTTACATCTCCTTGCCCTCAAGGGCTGTGACTAAGGCGGGCTGAGGGAATGGCGTCAGGGATGCGGGGTGCCAGCACTCTCACTGCTGGCTGCTCCTCTGCCGGCCGTCGTGGTCCTGCAGCATCCAAGGCAATGAAGAAGGCACGTGGGCTTGAGCCTCCGCTCCTCCGAGTGACCGATGGGCAGGGAGCGGGGCCGAGGCTCCTCAGGTTAAAGAAAGTCCCCATATCATAAAGGGGGTGAGGGTGGAAACGGGTGCTGCGAGTCCAGCCGTTATAAAGCGGAGATGAAAAGGGATTAGCCAAGCAGCCTGGGATGTGGCATCTTGCAGGATGGCATCGATCGCAGGCAGTGGGGAGGGAACGGCTACTGGGCTGCACGGCCAAAATCGAGGCCAAGACGAGGAGCGAACCTTATCCATGAGGTTTCTCTGCAGACTCTGGTGTGGAAGCAATGTATCTGAGCAAGATGAGATGTCACACATTAGAAGAAAGCTGGAAGGGAGAAAGAAAGTCTTAGCAAGGAGGTAAGGACTTGGGGGAAAGCTCAGAGAGAAAGAAATCTCAAATACAGGCCTGGGGGATTCTCCATGTAACTCTTATGGGAGACCTAGAAAGCTTTACACTGCACTCCTCAGCATCGCCCCCGCTCCCCTGCCCAGTGTCCAGGCACCCAGGGCTCTTGTGGCCACCGGCAGGAAGGATGCAACAATTAGGAGGAACTGGGAAGGAGGACTCACCCGAAAATCAGCTGCTCTCTTTATGATATGAATGCTACTTACAGATGAATCAGGAAAGAAGCAGATTCATGACATTGTCCTGGGTTGTTTCTTCACCATGTGGCAAGGATACATCAATGATGCTTGAGGGCTTTGCTCATGCCAAGGATGCCAGAGGTTTTGGGGTGGGAAAACTTGGTTTTTTTCAAAGATGTTCGTATGCTCATGTGACTTAGGAATGATCTGTCTTATTTTCACCTCCCCTCCTGCCGTCTTCCCACGCAAACCCTTGCTCAACTGCCTTACTTCAGAGTGCCATGGCCCAGACATCACTTGATACGCACTGAGATGCCCCTGGGTGCAGTGCACCGTCTTTCAGCTCACTAACCCGACCTCCTGAGCACAATGGAGTATGTCCTTACTGAAGCGATAAGTGAATGTGCAGCAAATTCACCCCTGACTTTCACAGCCCGGACACTCCACTGCAGACCCATGCAGAGGGGTGAGAGCTCCTGCTTCGAGCTGCAGCATCTAGCCTGGAAGGACACCCAGCCAGGACTTTGCTGCCTGTAACACGAGTACCACCATGTCATAAGATAAGCTGCTTTGAGGGGTTAGTTATGCTCTCATTTCAAAATGCATGAGGATTTGCAAGGTTTTTGTGAGCCCTGGAAGGTGCTGAGCTTCAACGCTGATGAGGTCCTTTCTATGGACATATCAAATAAATGGCTAAGGTTTCCAAAGAGCCAGTCCCCTGGGCAAAGCTGGCCAAGGGTGTCTGGAAGTGTCAGATGCTGAATACAGCGTCTCCCTGCTCCAACAGCAAGAGTTGACCACATAATAAGCTTTCAGGCTTAAGAAAGTAATGTATTTCTTTTTCTTCTACCCTACACAGAGGAATCAGAGAAAAAAGGGTTGATCTTTGGGGAAAGGTTCATCGCTGCCAATTTTCTTGACATCCTGAATGGGGTTCATAGGGAAAATGTTTACAAAGTTGCCACCCAAAACTGTGCCATGCAGCCAATTCTTTGAGCAAATAACAAAAATAAAGCTAGAAGAAGTGTTATTTACTTCTGGTAATAAAATACCCAATAGCAGTTGGAAACAATCCGAAAAGTGGCTCAAATTTAACCCCTGAAAATGAGGCAGCATCAGCTTTTTGAGAGTTTTTTGGTGAAAACTGTTGTTCTTTAACCAGCTCTGCGAGGGAGGCTGTACGGATCAGTCCCTCCCCTGGGAAAAACAGGGCTAGGATTGGGGCGTGTGCGCGTGCGCAGGTAACCTGCCTTGGGGCACACTGATGATTTCAGGCTGCATTTCTACCCACTCTTCCAACCCTTCCAGCTCATGCTTCTCTGCCCTCCCTCTCGGCCCCTGCCCACCCAGCTGCATCAATATAAACCCTCCAGCCAATATGTTGCCTTTGGTGCCCGGGAAGGTTTGCCTGGAGGGTGCTCATGGCTCGTGCCTCATCTCCAAGTTTTCTCTAGAGACGGAGCAAGGGTACTGGCAGCGGCGGGTGGTGAGCTCACACCTTGGGCACTCCTTCAGAGCTAGAGCAGCAGGGCAGGTTACAGCTCCAGCTTTGCTAGAATTCTTGGAGATCCTGAAATTTTGCCTCTCCGCGTGGAAGCGGTGCTTGTCTGTCTCAAGGGACACGCAGGTAAGTGGGATGGGGATGAGAGGCGAGTAGCAGGCGGGTGGCCGCTGGGCGCTCCAGCTGCTGTTTCGATTTTTCTGTTCCCTTTTGCTTCTTCTGGCTTATGTCTTCTCCGTTCCTTACCTACCTCTTGACTGAAGTGTGTTCTTCTGGGATTATTCACCACCTTGGGTCTGATTCTTTTTTTTCACTGTGCAATCACTTGTATCACTGTGAAAGCATAATGCAGAGCATCAGGGAGCAGGAGGATCCATTTGGTGCAAATGAACATATGGAAACCCAGGATGAAGAAGCATCAGACCTCAAATCAATCTACGTACCATCTATTTTATATTTCTTCTGTAGCTGCAGTCTCACCTTCTTCGGGGAACCAGCCAGCCAGGATTGAAAAGAGGGCATCATTAGCTTGCAATTTAAAAAAAAAAAAAAAGCGATGGAGGTGTATCCACAAGTCAGTTTATCTGGTAAAAGCAAGAGGTAATAGAAGAGCTTATTTGTGTTAGTGTTACACTCTTGGGTTTTTCTCCCTTTGAACTTATTTTTGGGAAGAGAAGCAGAGGAAACCCTGGTTGCCTCACACCACTGCACACCTCCAGCCACCACTTGACTCAGCTGACAGCAGTGTAAACAACGACTTGACTGTTTCTTCACAGTAACACAATCAGCTGACGCATGATTTTAAGATAAATTTCCCTTCCCTCTGTTAGACTGAAAGCTGCAAGAGTTGTCAAAAAAAGAAATGTTTTCCAGCCCTTTCTGCTGGTGCCTCGGGAGCTCAGAGAGGCTATTGGAGTACTTGATGTCATCCGTGTGCCTGTTCATTTTTGTGGAGCTAGAGAAGCGCAGCCAGACTGGTTGGTTTAACACTGTCCAGGGACTTAGCTGCTCAGCTTCAGAGATTTTCTGTGGCTCTTGAGTACCAAGTATGCAGTTGCTAGGGGTTGGATCCATCTCTTTAGCTATCTATCTGCCTCTAAGATAGCTCCAGTTTCATGGATTTGAGACAAAATATGCCAACTAAGGGACCTGGTTGTAATTTTTACTTTTCGAAAGGAATAAAAGGGCTGTGAAATATTTGTGTCGAGGAGAGGGGAGTCTTTGGCATTGGGAAGAAAAACAGAGAGAACAGGTTAGATTCTTTTCTATCCCACTAGTAAACACAGCTTCTGTCACCATCAGACGCCAGGGTGGGGGATCTGGCGGTGAAGAGCCCACTCGAGATGTGAAGCTTTCGCTAGGGTGCTAGGACAGCGTTCACATGGGAGGTACATTCGAGGTGACATCCCTGCCGGCAGAGAGCCACGTCCCCAGGGCTCTGCTCCACTCCATCGGTCTCCAGTAACACCTAAGCTCTGCTCTGATGCTCCTGGGCTGAGTATAAGGCAAGCACCAGCCTTCAGGAGGATACTAAGAAAAGACTAATAAGAAAAGAGCCAATGAGCAATAAACCCAGCACAACTGTCCACTCCCAAAAGGTAGCTCACAGCCCTCAGAGCACAGGGAAGTCCTTTCTGCAGAAAGATCTGAGTCATAAAGTGAAGCGAAGGGAAACGACAGGGCGACAGGGACAGGGTTGAAATGGGGAAGCATCTTATGGCAGCGAGGATCCCCAAAGAGGGACATTAATGCCGTAGATGGGGCTGTGGTGACTGTACCCGCGCTCAGAGTTCAAGAACGTTTCCTGGGGTGATTTGTCACTCGTGACTCGTGGGGGAGCGAGGAGGAAATATTCTGCAAAACGATGCCCGCTGGAAAGAGGATGAGCTTTTCACAGCAGGGTAAGGATGTTGCGCTGGAGCAGGCTGGTGCAACACGGGTGTGCATGTGTGTGCAAGGGGCAGAAAGGCAGGCAGAATACGTTTCTCCCCTTTCCCTTGGGTGTGCAGCATGCGCCTCCCCCGGGTGCACAACTAACCCCTTTCTTTCCCTTTTGCAAAGGTTGCCCAACGATGCTGAGCATATTTTCCTACTTGAGCGCAGAAGTCGACTGGTGCGAAGGCAACTTTGAGCGCTCGACGATTATCGCGGAGTACTACAACACTGTGAGTGCTGGTGCATCCGAAGGGCAGGTTGGGCATGAAGGCAGCCGGCTCCTGGCACCCAAGAGCTGCTTTTGGGAAACGAGAGACAGGACAACCTTGTTTTCTCTCTTCCTGCTCATTCCTTTGAAACTTCCTGGTGTTGGAGGGTGTTTGCATGGGGAACCTTTTCTGAGTTTCAGGTAAATCATGGGACTTTTATTGCTTACCAGAACCCGTTGCTCACAAAACTAGCTGGGATCAAGGATACTTTTGGCATATATGGGACTAAGTTCCCACTAAGAAAACCCTGGCAGTGCTCCTTAGCCCAGATTTGTGAGATCCTGTTATACCAGTCCTGCAGCTCTCCTGCCAACTGGGGTAAGTCCCACGCGGGGCTCATATATTCCAGCTAAACGTACAGGAGTGGCAAAACTAGAGACAACACTTGCATGAACTTTCTCAGGCTGGCTGGGAATCCGGAACTCAAAAAGAGGAAAGTTGATGCATGAACTAATTTCACCTCGTACGATCCGCTTTGTAACTCAGACTCCATCCAGCTCCAGTCCCTTGAACGCAGCCTCCTGGCTCGAGTATGACCAGAGCCATCTGCTTCTGTCTACAGAGGACTCAGTAGATAGCCTGTCTCTGTGAGCGCGTCCTTCTACCTTAGTGCCATTAAAAGTTGGCACAGTCATGAGGCATGTGGATTTACAACTCTTCCAAAGGCCTTGTTTATGACTTTTAGCAATTACTGTCTAACACTGGAAGTTCTTGTTTCTCATGGAAATGTCTCTTCCTTTTCTTTTTTTTTAAAGCATTTCCTGCTTTTAATAAATTGCCCATAGTAACAATAATTCCCTCACTCAAGTCCTGCAGCTCGCTGGCTCTAATTGCCCTGCTGGTGTCTCAGAGGAGGGATGCTTGGGCTGTATTTAGTTATTTGAGAAGGGCACTTGGCCAAAATTAGCTGTCCTGCTCAGGAGAGGATGCGTGCTCCTGATCCAGGTAGCCACGTGCAAGAGCAGCACGCCTGATGCTGGTCTGAACCAAATCCTGCTTTCCTCTGGCACTCAACCAAACCTGTTGCACTGTTGCTCATTACCGGCCGTGTCTCCCTGCTGGATGGGCTCAGAGCCCCAGAGCAAGGAAGAACTGGCAAGGAGATACTGAAATCACTTCTTTGTGGATCAGCATCTCAAATGTAGCTGGAGACGTCCAGTGCCTCTGTGGTTTGGAGTCACACTGGCCACACTGGAGAGGGGCTGATTTCCACAAAGCGCACCAGGATCTGATTTGTTCCTAGACTGTCAAAGGGTTTAGCATCCTTAACACACCAAGAAGTGTCTTAGGAGCTTTCCAAAAGCTCTTACACATCTAACTTGCCTGTGTCATGCTGCTAGACACCAGGTGGCACGGCCAGATGCTTAACTGCCTTCCTTAGGACCCAAGGCCTCTGATTTCCATAAAACATTGACTCTTGCTGACTAGGTTACTTGTTGCACAGGCTTCTAAACTGCAGAGCTGGACTGGCCTGAAGGACAGTATTTCGGATATGATCCCAGCACTTCTGGTCTTCCTTTCTCTCCTCCATTCATTTCTTACCCATATTCAGATTGCCTCCTCTCTGTGGCAAACTTTCTGAGCCTTATCTTGTTGGCCTGCCCTGGGATTATCACATTAATATTGGCTTCAGTGCCAGTTTGCCAGAGTTTCAGACAATCTGGGAATCCAGCCAGTTCATCCCTAAGGCTCCTGCACCACTAAGTCAGCAGGGCTTCCTAATGGAGCATCCTCTTCAGCGTCTTCCTTCCAGCACTGCCTGGGGCTCGAGTCGAGTAGTTTTGTGCTAGCAGCAGCAAAGCGCTCTGTGTCAGCAGTACTCGCTCTCGGCCCAGCTTGGGATGGATGCTTTTTATTAGAAATGAGCAGCAAGGGTATAAGCAGAGAATATAAACAATATCCCTAAGTACCTAATAATTAATACATGGTGGCTCATGGTGGTGCAGTTCAGCAACAAAGTGATAACTACTTATAGTGACTCAGTGGCCCAGAAATTTATTGTCTTCTGGCTGTTCATAGGAGAATAGGATTGTGCTACAGGGTCATCAGTCAGGGGCCTGTCTTTCTGCCATCATTTCTTTCCTGAAATGAGTGATCAGGATGCTGGTAATGACATCTAGATCCTTAGCAGTCCCTCTGGCAAAGCACTAGTAGCTCTGACGCTGCCGTCCATCCAGAACTCCCCAACATGTCCGTCAACTGGTAGAGATAAGCTCCACTGCAAGCTCAGATTAGCCAGATCTGCCCAGACAAGCACTCACTTTCACACTGTGTCGGAGTCACGGTGCAGTTAGCCCGGCCATCTGCATGGGCTCAGGAACCCCGCTGCATCACAGGCGCATCGCTCGCTCATGTGTCCAGAAATTCCCGCGCGGGAACAGGGCAGCTCCTTCTCCAGCACTTCAAAATCACTACACAAACAGCTGTTTCCTGCCCCAAAGCACTGGCATGATGCTGCCATGTCATGACACGCAGCCTCGTCTTCTGCTACACAGATCTGGCTATTAGGAACTTGCTGTACAGGTTGGGATAGCCTCTGAGATGTCTTTGGCCCTGGAGGCTCTTGTGTCAGCTAAACCTGGTTCGTTGGCCTTCAACTTAATGAATACACTCCAGGCCAATGAGGCTTTTAGAAATCTTTAATTGCAGAAAATATTTGTCTTGAGTAAGGACTCGCATTGTGCCTGGCTTGCTATTACACCGTTGTTGTGCTCACGCATCCAGTTAGAGTCTGAAAACCAGCATCTCCTGTCCAAATCCATATTGGAGGCCTGTTCTCACCTTGTCATGGATGGAGAAGCAAATTGGCTCTCTGCAGGTCTCTCCTTCCATCTTAGCCTGCAAAGTGCTGAGTTGCACAAGCCCTGGGGCCTTTCCCATGCTCCTGCTAATGCACTAGGATTAGAGCCATGTCCCTTATCCCAGTGTTGCTTTTCTCCTAGAAAGAGATCCCGGGATAAAGGGATCCCGTGGCAAATGGGAAAGCATGGGGCTGAGTCGCTCTCGCAGGTCGGTTTGTACTTTGGCTCCATCACCACTCTCTCATCTCCCAGAAATCCTGGGCAGAGGCAGCTGGCGCCTCCTGGCCAGCACAGCTCAGCCAGGTATATGCAGAAGCCAGGGGGCTAAGGCCGAGAAGAAAATCTGCAGAGCTTCCTAATGCGTGTACTGGGAGCAAAGCCCTTCCGACTGTGTTTGCAAAGGAGCTTGCCACGTGCTAAAGGGATGATTTAACACAGCACTTGCAAAATCAGGGCTTCTGTCCTGTCAGTGGTGAAGTCCCCTCATGGATGCAGTTTTGTAGTGGCTCAGCCCCTAAGCTCTGAGTTTGGCTGCTCTGCGCGGATTCATTCTGCAATCTCTGTTTCTGTTGGTGCTGTTCTCCTGATTATTCCTCCCCTCTGATATCTGATCTTGCATTTCTCATACCAACTTAATGAAGCGATAACATTGCTATCATGTAATTAATGACGCTGTTGCAATGCCCAGTGCAGCAGGGATTCAGACCTCTCTATATGCAATCTCAAACCCCCGCATTTCCTCACTTCTGACATGCATGCTGGCACATGCATGCTGTGGCCTTTTCTGCAAGCACTTCGCCTCTTCTTGCAATCCCTCCTTGTTTTCCAAAAGCCTCTTTTAACTATTTCACAGGGGAAAAAAAATGTTTGTACAAGTTGTTACTTTAATACATGGTTTGTTTTCTCGATCGTTTCAATTGTTCCTGAACTATTTGACCCTGAGTACGTGAGTAGGACCAGCACTTCCCTTTCCATAGGTGGAAAAGGAATATGCCTGGATTTGTCTCAAAGCACCTATAGAAAACCAATATGCTTGCTCTGAGAATTGCTGTTAATATGAGCATCAAGTTGTTTCATGGAAACCTTGGTGAAGTTCAAGATTAATCTCTGGGTATTAAAGGGAATAGAGGCGTTACATTGAGCATGACTTGTGTTTCCCTCTGGAATATGAGTGGGTGTGTTTCATATCTATGACAACATCCCTGTGATTTGCAGCTCTGTTACTGTAAGCTTAGATCCCAAGGGACCTCATAAGCCAAGCTTTGATTTTGCAATTGGCTTGTGTATGGAAAGGTCTGCTGAGGGGTGAGATTCCAGCTGTGGAGGTCAGATCCCAGGTTTGGGCCCTCATTTAGTACCTAGCTGGAAGATGAAAGGAAAACAATCATCAGGGGGAGATAAAGTCATCCTGGTAGTTTGCCAAATGGCATTTTAGCAGGTGGTTCTGCACTGCCCTAACAAAGCCCCAGAGAACTGCCTCGCAGCAGCAACTGGGCCCCGGCAGCAGCGACAGGCTGAGCTTCAGTACGATCCCCTCCTCACCCCAGCCAAACCAAAGTCTGCCAATGAAGCAGTTCGGTTGAACTGCAAAACAGGGCAGAATAATTACGCTGCATTCATTTGCAAAGTATGCTTAAAAGATGTTTATGACTTTACATAATTACTAATGTTCAGAGTACCTGCCCTTCCAGGCCAGATGGCTTTGCATGTGACACTACAGGATGTCACCTCCATTAAGTCCCCACCTACAACTGTCCTACTGATCCTGCTGCTCTCCACCACACCCACTCCCGGTTAACGATGGTTTTCCTAACTGTGGCTGCCTTGCTCCTCGTGCCCATCCAGCCCCTCGTGGGGGCTGGCTGCTGGCTGAAAGGGGCAAAAGCCAGTCAGGGAGTTTCTGGCAGGCCTGGCATGGCAGGAGAGGGAGAGGGTTGCAAACAGGAAAGCTTTGGCAATTTGCTTAAGGACACAAGCCAAAGATAAACCATCACCCGAGGGGAGCACGCTGTCTTACCTTGGACTCATTGGCCTGAGAGGCTGCTTATATGGAGAGCGCAGCTCCCTGAAGCCCTTGCTGCCACAGCAATAGCTATCCTTCCAGTTCCAGCCTCGAGAAACACCTTTGTCCTTCCTCCTGTGCCAAGAGTAATACCTGCCTTCATGTGGTTCTTTCCACTAGAGATCAGTATCCTCTTCGTGGAGAGAGATACTGAGGCATAAGGTGGGATGGGACTTGCCCAAGATCATGCAATAAGCTGAATGTGCCTCTTGTTTTTCAGATCAGCAATGTAAGCTTCTTTGTCCTTTCTCCTGCCCTGCTCTACCTGAACCGGCAGTACCGCCAGCAGCGTGCCTTGCCCTTGTATTTCGTCTCTGCCCTGCTCCTCTGTGTAGGTGAGTGCCAAGGTTGTGAGAAGACCAAACTGGTTGCCAGAGTACCCAGCTGTTCCTCTGCAGTACCTTTGGCTCTGGAGACTGGTTCAGTGGCCAAAGCACAGGAACAAGCTGGGGTGGGAAACAGGACACCATGTCTGTACGAAGCCCTGCAGCTCATGATTCTCAATGGCTAGGGCTGCACAGCTCCCAGCCCGGTAAATCTCTGTGGTGCTCTGTGGATTGACTCACTCAGGTCTGCATTAACTCCAGGGTCTGTGCCCTGCCCTTGAGGAAGGGAACATCCTCAGGAATTGCCCCCAAGAACTTCCTGGGCAAGATGGGCTTGCTCTATGACAGAACTTTGCTGACACAGTCTGCCTTGTTCCTTGCAGGTGTCTTCTCAATGTACTTTCACATGACCCTGAGCTACGTGGGGCAGCTCTTGGATGAGCTCTCCATCCTCTGGACATTGGCTGTGGCATATTCCTTTTGGTACCCAAAGGTTTACTTCCCCCGATGCATCAAGAACAGGTATAACTCAGAGAGACATGTGGTTGCAGGTAGCAAGGGGAGGGATGGGACTTTGACATTGACGCAGGTGATCCACAGAGTTCCCCCTATCCCAGCTAGCTGCCCTGCAATGGGTCACCCATGAGGTTACTGCAGTTTGCTCTGGGGCCAGATCCTCCATCACTCAGCACTAGACACGCTGACAGTGGAAGAGTAAGAAACTTCCTCTGAGGAGCACTCGGCTGAGCTCCTGTTGGCTGGAGCTACCAGTCTTTGCGAAGCTTATCAGGAAATTTTGCATGGAGAATTTCAAAGTCAGAGATTTGGGCATGTTGTTTCTTGCATGTGGTGTGGCTGGACTGGACAAACCTGTGGTTTGCCATGTCAGGAATGTGCGGACTGCTCATCTGTGTAAATTTGCCAAGGGGCTGGAAGTCCTGCTAGCCCTCAGGGAGAGCACAGAACCATCTGGGGAAGTGTGGGACCTGGGGGCTTCACATAGAGTAGGAAATTGAATGTTCCTGAGCACCAACATTCAATTACCTGTGCTGTCAAGTTGTCACAGCTTCCCCTGCCATCCATAGAGAGTTTTCCCTGAAGGCTGATGGGGTTTTCCCTAGGACAAGCTGGCCCAGCTTAACTCTCCCACATTGCAAAGGTTGTTTGCAGGGGGGCTGGCTGGGCTAGAGGAACTCAGCACAAAAGATGGGGAGACTGGGTGGGCATAAAGCAGCAGAAACAGGAACCCAGCGGGGCTTTGCTCAGAGGATGCTCACACCCTGGCAGGCTCGCCAGACCCCTCTGAGCCAGCCCAGCTAGGAGCCTTGCAAAGGCCTGCTCCAAGCCTGCGCTTCCCATGCCAAAGAGGAGGTCATCAGGAGTTCACTGTGGAGACATGGTTGGGGGAGGCAGGGAGTGGGGAAGGGACCTGAGAAGGGATTTGCATGTGAAAGGCCTCTTTAAGCTCTATTGTTGTTCAGTCAGCCCAAATCTGCATGTTTGCACTGCTGAAACCCCTGCCCACCGCTGCCAGGGCTCTTGCTCTGCAGTCCTTCCTTGCACAAAGCTCCCATTGCCATGCTGTTCTTTGGCATCACCATGAAAGTGCCCGAGTTACCTTCTAGGTGATGTTCCCAGCTCTGCCACAGACTCACTGGGAGGCCTTTGGCAAAGCACTTTCCTGCTCAGTGCTCGATTAAAAGGGAACAGTTACCCCTGTCTTCCAGTCAGGACTACCACAGAGGCTGAGGTCAGCTGTGTGGGACAGATGGGAAGTGCTGGAGATGGGTTACCTCTCCCAGGCAATGAGCAGGACCTCTCCCATCACTATCCTGCACTACTGTGAAACCCTTGGGGCACTGATACTCACTCCCAACTCTGTCTTCTCTTTAGGAAGCACTTCCTGTGGTTGAGTGGTGTCATCACTGTGGTCAGTACCCTCATGTCCTTCATCAAACCGGCCTTCAATGCCTATGTGCTCAACTGCATCGCCTTCCACTTGCTTTACCTGACATGGCGAGAGCTGAAAAAGTAAGGAGGGGTCCGGGAAGGGCTATCTGCACATCCTGGCATGCTCACAACATGGCAGTAAGTCTGTACAGCTCCGTGCCCATCACTCAGTGAGGCCCAGGGCTTCATCAGACACATGTTGGGCCATCAACTCTGCAAAGAGCTGGGGTAGCCTGGGACAGATCTAGGAATGGGCACAGGCAGGACTGTGTGCAGTGGGATATGAGAAGGCCACTTGGCCCAGCTATCTCTCAGCATGAGGACAAGCCATGGGACAAGTTGGGACAAGTGTGTCTTATCCTCAGCTGCTATCTCTGCAGCTCCTTCCTCTTCATGTGGGCTTTGAGAACCAATGTGGGGTTGGGAGGAACCCACTAGGATGTGGGGAGAAGGCAGGA